GCGACTCACGGCAGCCCAGCTCCAGGTTGAGCTATTGTTCAGCATGTTAGCTGTAGAGGGCAGTGTTACTGGCCCTCATATGGGGGATCCGAACCAGGGCCCTCTGGCATCCTGAGCCAGCTCTTAACCAGTGTGCCACGCGGCCGACCCTCATCCTGCTTTTAATATCTATATAAGAAGGCATCAAACCCATGTGTAAAAATCTAAAATCCTTATTAGCATGTCTGCAATTTCTCGGGTGCTTTATGTATGTACTTCTGGTTATTTTTGTTGCTGAATTCCTGTATCTGCTGAATTAGTTCTGTTTATGGATTGTTTTGCTGCCCCTTGTTCCATAGCTTATCACCCCAAATGTAGAACTTGGCCCCTTTCTATGATTTTCATACACCAAAATCAAAGAATCCCATTCACAGGAGGCTTTTCTATGGATAGCCAACTTTACTGGAAATGTGAATGAGGCAAACAACAGCAGATTGCATATTAAAAGTGCCAATCTTAAGAGTTCTCCAGGTGCCCCACCATCTTTTTCTATCTGTACATAGGAGCTCATGTTAGTCATCTCTCATTCCTCTTTCATTGTTTCTTTTTTTTATTTTTAATTGGGGAATTGGGCAGGGGAACAGTGTTGGGGAATTGGGGAAGGGAACATTGTGTTTTTTTAGGACTCATCAGCTCCAAGTCAAGTTGTCCTTTAATCTTAGTCGTGGAGGGCGCAAGCTCAGCTCCAAGTCCAATTGCTGCTTTCAATCTAGTTGCAGTGGGGTGAAGGAGTGGGAGGAGCGGGGGTCACAGCCCACCATCCCATACGGGTGTCGAACCGGCAACCTTGCTGCTAAGAACACGTGTTCTCACCAGCTCAGCGGCAGCTCATTCGGGCACAGCTCACTGGCTCATGTGGGAATCAAACTGGTGACCCTGTTGCTCAGAGCTCGCGCTCTTCACCAACTGAGACACTCAGCTGGCCCTTTCATCGTTTCTTTTCATCCCTATTTTTCATACTGCCCTCTAGAACTCGACACTCTTCTTTTTGTCACATAGAGTGATTCATATCTTGCCATTCTTTACTCCCATATTCAGCTCCAGGCCCATCTATGTATTTAATGGAACAAAGTGCCTTTTATTTACCAGTTTCTACTTTCTTTATTAGGCAGTTACTATTTAATTGACAGTTATTTTCTTTCTACATTTGGATTGGGAGTTTATGCAGTGCCTTCATGAGGAATGTTTAAGTCTATCGATGTTTCTTGAATAATTTCAGTACTTTATTCATTTAAATATAAATAAATTGGTCATTCATAGCTATAGAAAACTACACAAATCTTGAGGATATAGTTTGAATTATCACCATATTCTGATATTAGTTAAGGTAGGCGAAGCTCTGCTGAGGTAATATCAACCTCAAAATAGCAGTGGGTTGGAACAATGAAAGTTTATTTCTTGCTTATGCTCCATCTTGTCTTGGAGATCTCTGTGGCTTTACTTAACATTATGTCTACACTTTAGTCAGAGCCCCATGTGGTGGGGCAGTTTCTCTCTAGAACCTTACCCGCCTTGGAGCAGAGGCAACAACATCATGGGGAAGCACTGCTGGCTTGTAGAGCTTTCTCCCAGAAATGGCACATTTCATTTCCGCTTCTATTTTAATTAATATTTTAATTGGCCAAAGGGAATCACATGACCACTCTCATCTTTATTGTGAAAGGGAAGTATACCCTTCACCATTGATGGGGCAGTAAATATTTTAAAGCATTGCTACAGCCTAGTACAGTTCTAAACATTTTACCCCATTACTCTGGAGCAAAATCAGCCAATTCAGCATCTTATAAACTAATCAGGGCTTTTGGTCTAAATCACGTGTAGTTTATTTTTGCATCAAAATTGCTTCTGAGTAACTATTTCTTTTAAGTGCAATGTAAGAGAAGAAAGCTTGCAGAGGAAAACAAATGTTTATTTTCTAATTTATCCTCCCCCATTCCTTCTGATCCCTTCATAATATTGTTTTGTTTCTTTGAAGCAGTTCTTACTATCCAAAGTGATTTATTTTGCTTTTTTTTCTTTCTCCCACTAAGCACTAAGAGAGGATCACTTTATGTTTGTTCCCCACTAGATACATACCTAAATGCCAACATACTGCCTTGCCTGGCACTTAACCTCTCTGCATCTCAGTTTTCCATAATAGTAGTACAATACATATCTCATAGGGCTGTTGTGTCAGTTAAATGTGTTAATATACATAAAGTGCTTAGAACAACAGCTGGTACAAAGGCACTCAACTAAACTGGCAATTAAGATATAAAATAATAAGCTTTATAGTAAGGGAAGGAAAGTACTGGAAACTCAGTCTGAGACTGAAACTGGACAGACAAGTTAGATGGGTTAAGGAGTTGGAGGAAGGAGGGAATAGTATATGCAAAGTCTTCTGGGCAAGAAAGGACATGCCTTTGATTTCCTGAATATGTGTTACATATCCAAAGAAAAATGAAACAAACTTATATTCTCAAGAAAATTTAGCCTTGGAAAGGAAATTTTAAGTGTAAATATTTTGTGTGTGTTCTAGCTCAACTACTTGAAAACTTGCAGGAAAAAATTCACAATTATTTTATTAAATCCTATCAATTTGATTTATCACAGTTATTGCCCTCTGTTTGTGTGTGTGTATGTGTGTGTGTGTGTGTGTGTTTGTGTGTGTGTGTGTGTGTGTGTGTGTGTGTGTATTTTTTTAGGCATATAAATGGTGCATTGAGGCAATGAAAGAAATCACAGCAGGCTTACCAGTCAAAGTTGTGGTGGATGTTTTAAGACAAGCTTCTAAGGTGAGTATCATATTAAAATTATTAAATGAATTATAGGATTTAGCAAGCTTTAAATTTGTTTTAATTAACCTATTATTTAACAAAGCTGTCTCACATATAGACTTTAGCGAATTTTCCTATTCCCAGAAAACCTGTGAAAAAATTCATTTTGATAATTCAACTCCCTGAAGTACAGATTAAAATACTATTTTGGTGCTCTTCTGCCTTGAATTTTTTTGTTTTTCTTAAACCTTTACAACTGCCTGAATTCCTATGTCACAGTTGTATGGGCTTTGGTTACTTTTCTCCTAAATGATAGCCTAGTATTCAATCTTTTGGTCATAGTATTGCAGTCTCACAGTATGGCAGCTTTCTGTACTTGACCTGGTGGGTAAATACTTACATGATTTTTATCCTTCAGTTTTTTTCTTATTTTGTAAATAAATGCGTTAACTTTTTGAGGCCTTTTAGTAGTGTTTAAAAATTGCTGCTTTTGTGCATTGAAGCTCTCAAAGCATTGATGTACATTTCAAATGTACTTTTTCTACCCAGAGATTTTTCAGTTTTTTTTTTTTTTTTTAAAGATTTTTATTGGGGAATTGGGGGGACGGGAACAGCGCTGGGGAATTGGGGGAAGGGGAACAGACAAGTTGCTGTCCTTTTGTTCTTCAGTCTAGTTGAGGACGTTGCTTCACTGGCCCAAGTTGGCACCATCATTGTGCTCTTCCCGGGTGAGGCAGATCAGTCGCCGTCTTCTGGACGGCCGCTCACTGCGGCTGCTGGCTACACACGGTAGCCCATGGCAACCCACTGCCACAGGGGCTGCAGCCTACGCTGTCACTGGCGACTCACGGCAGCCCAGCTCCAGGTCGAGCTGCTATTCAGCATCTCAGCTGTGGAGGGCAGTGTTACTGGCCCTCATATGTGGGATCCAAACCGGGGCCCTCTGGTGTCCAAAGCCAGTTCTTAACCATCGCGCCACTCGGCTGGCCCAGATTTTTCAGTTTTGAATATTCCATTTTGGTTGGTTTTACTTATGAAAGTTTCAATTAGAAGAAAGTTTTTAAAATTATAGAAGAGTCTAAGATTTCTGTGAAATTTATTTAAATAAGTCATTTTGGAGCAAATAAATAGCATAAATATTCAGGTTATCAGAGCTAGAAGAGGAAGAGGGGTATTAATATGTTTTACTTAATTTAAAACATACAAGATTTATATTTTTATATGCAGATGATATTTAGAGTCCAGAAACTACTGGCCATTGTCATGAATCACAATATTTTAAGAACACTCAAAATTGTATGCATTTAAAAATTACTAGATGAATGGAGGGAGTTGTGGGAGGGGCTGGGTGAAAAAGGTGAAGGGATTAAGAAGTACAAATTGGCAGGTACAAAATCATCAGAGGGATATAAAGTATAGCATAGAGAACATAGTCAATAATATTGTAATAAGTATGGTGTTGTTATAACAGGTTTGTATTGGGCATGGCTGTCAAAATTTTAAGCTTTATAATTTCCTGGAATATATATAGATCTATTTATAATAGATTTTTCAAGTACTTGAAAGGAAAGAAATTACAAATATAACTTATATTTGAAGATGGCTTTTTTTCTTTTTGACCATTATAGTTTGAATATGTAAACTATACTTATTTTAGGACACAAACTGTTTAAGTTATTTAACAATTTTTCATTTTATCTTTAGGCTTGTGTTGTAAAACGTGAATTTAAGAAGGCAGAGCAGTTAATTAAACATGCAGTATATTTGGCACGGTAGGTGATTGTTATTAAAAATACCATTTCAAATTTTTTGTCTCTACTTTATATCCTAATAGTTTTGTATCTTTTTATAGGGATCATTTTGGATCCAAACACCCAAAATATTCTGATACACTTCTAGATTATGGGTTCTACTTACTCAATGTAGATAATATCTGTCAGTCTGTTGCAATTTATCAGGTATGTTAATAATTACACTTTTTTTCCTTTCATCCTTAATTGACTTTCTGACCTGTGTTGTTTCAGTGTATAAACCATTCTAAAAATAACTTTCTGAGCCCTCCTTGCATATTGGCACACTGTTATTTTACTAAATAATACGTAGAAAGCTTAAAAGTTAATACTTTAGGAATTAAAGAGAGTCATTCAAGAAAAGAGTTCTTGGGCTGTGGGCTCATAATTAAGAGTACTTTCCTTTTTTTTTTTTAAAGATTTTTATTGGGGAATTGGGGGATGGGAATAGCGCTGGGGAATTGGGGGAAGGGGAACAGACAAGTTGCTGTTGTTTTGTTCTTCAGTCTAGTTGTGGAGGACGTTGCTTCACTGGCCCAAGTTGGCACCATCATTGCGCTCTTCCCGGGTGAGGCAGATCAGTCGCCGGCTTCTGGACGGCCGCTCACTGCGGCTGCTGGCCGCTCACGCTGGCTGCTGGCTACACACAGTAGCCCATGGCAACCCACTGCAGCCTACGCCATCGACCCAGCTCCAGGTTGAGCTGTTGTTCAGCATCTTAGCTGTAGAGGGCAGTGTCACTGGCCCTCATATGTGGGATCCGAACCGGGGCTCTCTGGCGTCCCGAGCTAGCTCTTAACCAACTGAGCCACTCGGCCAACCCACTTTTCCATTTCTTATTTGTCCAGATGATGATGGCTTGTCTTTGTTGTTGACTGAGCACGAGTCAGTATAGCTGCCTTTATAATAGCAAGGAGGGTCAATAACAATTATTTTAGGCCTTATCTTAGCCATTCTCAGGTAAATGATATGTTATGCCATCACTCTAGACAAGGTGTCCTTGATTTTATAGTTCACTTCTGAAGGACAAGGACATAGAGGAAAACACTGATGTACTACCCAAGAATTATAAATTATTTTTATTATTAAACCTTTTAAGTCAGACTCAGTCTTCAGAAAATCAAACCTTGTAGGTGACTTTTATGTTCTACTGTGATTTAAATACAGCAGAACTTTTCTTCAAAACTGATGGGATTGAGTATGTAGAGTATATATTTAAATTACTAGGATGCTTAATTTAACTAGGTAGTGGTTACTAAGGATTTACAGTATTATCAGTTATTTTCATGATTTTCAGGCAGCCCTTGACATTCGGCAATCAGTATTTGGTGGCAAAAATATCCATGTAGCAACTGCTCATGAAGACTTGGCTTATTCTTCTTACGTTCACCAATATAGCTCTGGGAAATTTGACAATGCGCTGTAAGTTCCACATTCCTTTTCAGTGAGGGATTAAATGCTGTTGCTATTGTTTTGTTTTCCTAATAGTAATATTTAATGTACTTTATGGATTAAATTTGTCTTCTTGGAGCTTTAACATGATGCCTAAAATGTTTTGTTTTTTTACACTTTTTCATTTTATGAAATTTATTGGGGTGACATTGGTTAATAAAATTATATAGGTTTCAAGTGTACAGTTTTATAATACATCATCTGTATATTGCATGTGTGCTCACCACCGAAAGTCAAATCGCCTTCCGTCACCAAAAAAATGTTCTTGAAGTCATTTAAAATCATTCCAATTTATAAGACATTCATTTAGATTGTATGTGGTTTAATATTTAAACTTGTATATCTTCTTATGGAATATGACTTTTGAATATTTCCTTCAGTAATTTTTCTTTGAGTAATTTGGTAGCGTTTGACTAAATGGCAGACTTAACCTAAAAACCTAAAAACTTCTTTCTCAAAACACACAGAAATACTGAATAAAATGGTCAACTTTTTAAATGTATAACTGAGTTTATAAAAGAGAAGAAATCCCCAAGGGCCAATAATGGAATAAAATCCAGAAGAGTAAATAATGGATTAAAATCCAGACTTTGGTATAACTGTCCTGAGATGGTAGGAAAGCTTAGAAGTTTCTGTAACCTTGGTTGAACAACATTCCTATGTTTAAGAGACGAAACATTTAGCCCACAGAAAGCCGTGAGTTAGAACTGAAAACCTCACGTGAAGCTAAAATCAAGGCTGCACCCTCAGGGAAAGGGTAGACTAGGGGAAAAAAAAATTGCCTACTGGCAAGAGTGATGACAAGGAAACGTATCATAAATTCCTCATAGGGAAATTTGTAACTGCAGACATGTACCACTCTGTTTGGGCATCATGTATACAGGAACCCCCAAATTGAGAAAAACACTGAAAAGGGTTTTGAGACTGCTAGTTCTCTTGGGATGCCTTTTGGGAGAAAAATGTAAAACTCTCGGAAGTAATTAACCCTCAACCCAAGCCATACAGACTTTCCATAGATCTAGCACTACTGAAGATTAACTCATCATTTAAAAAAACTAAAAATAAATAAGGAAACATTTCCTGTATATGTGAAAGTCAGCAGATATAATGAACATAGTACCCTAAGAATGTCGTTTAACAGAACTTTTTGGTTGATACTATAAAGTAAGTATTCTTAAATGATTAAAGATATAAAATGGGTTGGCAACCAGTGGCTTATAGGCCCAATAAAATTTTATTGGAACATAGCACTACTCATTCACTTATGTATTGTCTGGCTGCTTTCACGCTACAACAGCAGAGTTAAGTAATTAGGACAGAGTGTGTGGCCCACAGAATCTAAAATATTTACTATTTGGCCCTTTACAGAAAAAATTTGCTGACCCTGATATAAAAGAAGGAATCAGTAATATTTTGGAGGGAAAATAAAGAAAAAAAAGGCAGATTTAAAAATAAAACATCTGATACATGCTACAACATGGATGGACCTTGAAAACACTGTGCTAAGTGAAAGAAGCCAGTCACAAAGGACCACATATTGTATGATTCCATTTATATGAAATGTCCACAATAGGCAAATCCATAGACACAGAAAGTAAAGGTGGTTGCCTAGGGCTGGGGGGTTGGAGGAAAATGTAGAGTGACTGCTAACTGGGCACAGGGTTTATTTTTGAGGTGATTAAAATATTCTGAAATTGATTGTGGTGATGGTAACACAATTTGGAATATACTTAAAACCATTGAATTGTACACTGTGAATAGCTGAATTGTGTACTATGATGTATATCTTAATGGGAGCTGTTATAAAAATAAAATCTGATGACTAGATTTGGAAAACAGTAATTGACATTAAAACTCAGTAGACAAGTTAAACAACAGATGAGACACAACTAGAGACAATTAGTGAATTAGAAGACATCTGAGAAAAATTAATGATTACTTGGAAGATGGGGATAGAGAGCTCACAGTTGTTTGAGAGGAGCTGGCAGATAAAATAGACAAATAGCTTACCTTCTGTTTGGCAAGGTGGGTTATAAATAAATAACCAAACATGTCAGGTGATGAGGATGCAAGCTGTAAAAAAGAATAAAGTAAGCTAAGTAATTTAAAGAGTGTAATTTAAAGAGTGATGGTAGACTATTTAGGGACTTTTGGATTGACTAGTCTGGAAAGGCTTTTCAGTGAGTGAGCCATATGGATATGCCAGGGAAGAGCATTCCAAGAAACAGTAAAGCAAGTGCAAGAGTCCTAGGTAAGAACATGATTTGCATGTTCAGAAAACTGTAGGCCTGTGACTGGAGGGGAAAGACTGGACTGTTTCTGAGTGGCAGGAGATGAGGTCAGAGAGGTAGGTAGCCCAGTAAAAGATTGTGTTGAGCCTTGTAGGCTTTAGTAACAACTTCCCAGTTTATTCTGAGGGAGATGGGTATCCATCCACAACAGATGGAAGTTTAAACAAACAAAATGGTTTTAGAACTTCTATCAATATTATATTATAAATTGTGATTTTTTTTAATGCTTAAATCATTTGTAACTAAATAGAAATACCAGAATATATCTATCTGCAATGCACATTTTTGTCCAAATATTGGGCTGAAGGTTAATTTTCATGACTCAGTAGTATTGGAGGGAGGGAGGGAAGTAAGGAAGCCTGGGAGGGAAAGTTGGGGGGAAAAAAAAAAGAAATGCTGGAATATATCTATCTGTATTACAGATTTCATGCTGAAAGAGCTATTGGCATCATTACCCACATCCTACCTGAAGATCATCTTCTTTTGGCTTCTTCAAAGAGGGTGAAAGGTACCCTTTGTAATCTAGTCTCATATAATATATATATATATATTTTTTTAGATTTTTTAAGCTGTCGTTTGTAATGTTTAGTCTCTGATTTTTTAATTGGTGATATATGGTATAAAATAGGGGTATTTGTTTATTTCCTCAGGGACAGTGCTTAGGATTAGACTGTATGTATTATTACGATAGCTGATGCACTGATTTAAAATATTTGCATGCAACTCTATTTAAGAATTTCCAGTGGTTCAAAATAAAAGGTTGTTTGCTTCTCTCATATAACATTGTTAATAAGCCAGAATGTCTATCATCCTTCCCTGCCTCCCTTTACATGCATTTATTCATTTCTTTTGAGGGGAGGATGGAAAACTAACACAAATGATTATTGCACAGTAACATGGATAGCAAACTGAAGCTGGGGTTTTCACGTACCTTCAGCTTTATAGTGCAGGATTCTGAAACTCAGCTTCACATGATGTTACCCTTAATGTTGTAAGGCTCTTACCAAATATCACTTTCTTCTTTTCTTATTTTAACTTTTCTTCTAATCACTACCAGGACTCTTCATTTAAGGCATTTATTTTGCTAACATAATTGGATCGTGAGCCATATGGTAATATTATCCATGCATGTTGGATAAATTTTACCTTAATTTTAGAACTGGGTTTTCTTATGGTTACACATTGTTTTCATGCTACAATGGCATAATTGACTCTTTTAAGGAGGGCACAGCTCACAGTGGCCCATGTGGAGATGGAACCGGCAACCTTGGTGTTATCAGCACCATGCTCTAACCAACTGAGCTAACCGGCCACCCCCTCAGTTTGCATTTTTAAAGTACACAAGTAATACATGATTAATTGAAGAAATTAAAAGTTAGATAGAAAAGAGAAAAATTAAGTCACCTGAAATTCCACCAATCCAAAATCAACATTTTGGTGGGTTTTTTAAAGACTCTTCCAGTAATGAAATGAATGAATACTTTTTATTTTTTTTTTTATAATCTGCTTTTTTCACTTGATATATTATGAACAAGGGCTGGCCGAGTGGCTCAGTTGTTTAAGAACTCGCTCAAGAGTGTAAGCTCTGAGCAACAGGGTGGTTGGTTTGATTCCTGGCTCGAGCTGAGCTGCCAACAGCTGCCAACAGGTGGCAGGATGGCTCAGCTAAAAAAAAAAATTTCAACAGTGATATATTATAAACATTTTTCCATTTCAGCACATGTAGATATATATCCTTTTCTCTAATATTTTTAACCTTATCTCTATTATTGGATCTTTATATCGTTGTTAACCTTTTGTTCTTTAAAAATGCTACAGTAAACTAAATCTCTTTTCTGCACATGGACACTTTTCCTAGAAATACTTGGTAAAAGACTATGTATTATTAAGACTTTAGATGGAATTTGAAAGCCTTGCATGTGACTTTGAAATTGAACTGTCTTCTTGCCTGATTTGGTCAGTCAAGTGAGTAGGAGGAAACTGGTTCTTTTAGTTATATTGGGTTAAAGGTTATATTTTATAAAACTGCGGTTTCAAAATTTTCAGTAGTGCTTAGGTACTCCTTGACACAGTTTCATAATTTTAAAAATGTTGCCTCTTCCTTTTCCCATTTGCTTTAAAAAACAAATTCACATCAGCAAAGTATAACAGTCTAGTAAAACAAATTAATTCTACCAAATAATTTGATGTATATCATTGTTTTTCTTAAATTTGAAATTTATTATACTATGCAAAACTGAATGACCCCCAAGTTGTATTTTTTCATTAAAGTGAAATGCTTTTCATCTTTACCAGTTTTAAACCATAACCACACATAAATACGTATGTACAAAAACATTTACAGAATTTAATTTTAAATGATATGCTCTGGTTAGCTTTGATATGGTTTGGAAGTCACTAATTTCATCACTTTCTTATTCAGCACTTATTTTAGAGGAGATTGCTATTGACTGTCATAATAAAGAAACTGAACAGAGGCTGCTTCAAGAAGCTCATGATTTGCACCTGTCTTCACTCCAACTAGCTAAAAAAGCTTTTGGAGAATTTAATGTACAGACTGCAAAACACTATGGAAACCTTGGAAGACTTTATCAGTCAATGAGAAAATTTAAGGTAGAAGCATGTTTTATTGTATTTTTCTCTAAGTAATCTTAGGTAATAAAGTACAATCTTAAATAATGTACCTTCAGTAATCTTGAATAATAAAGTATACACTTATTATACTCCTACCTTATTCCACACAAAAAATGAGAAAATAGCTAGTATAAAATGACATAGTCAAGTGCCGGCTGAATGGCACGTTGGTTAAGAGCTGGCTTGGGACGCCAGCTCTGAGCAGCAGGCTCCGGTTCGGATCCCACGTATGAGGGCCAGTGATGCTGCCCTCTACAGCTAAGATGGTGAACAACAGCTCGACCTGGGCTGCGGTGAGTTGCCGGTGACGGTGTAGGCTGTAGCCTCTGCTGCAGTGGGCTGCCATAAGCTACCGTGAGTGGCCGGCAGCCAGCGTGAGCGGCCGGCAGCTGCTGTGAGCGGCCCTCCGGTGGCTGGCGACCGATCTGCCTCAGCCGGGAAGAGCGCAATGATAATACCAACATGGGCCAGTGAAGTGACGTCCTCCACAACTAGACTGAAGAACAAAAGCACAGCAACTTGTCTTTTCCCCTTCCCCCAATTCGCCAGCGCTGTTCCCCTTCCCCAATTCCCCAATAAAAAGCTTTTAAAAAACAACATAGTAAAAAAAGAAATAAAATTTTAAAATCCATACTATGGAAAAATAAGAAATATATCAAACCATAAAGGTTAAAGTGCTTGTTATAGTTAGACTTAAAACAGCTCTTAGCTAGTTAAGTACAGCACTTAGCAGAATGCCCAGCACATAGTAGGTATGCAGGAAATACTGTAAGTACTGTTAATTGTAGCAATAAAAATGGACAGAATTTAGTTCCTTTTTAGAATTTTGGATTATAAATTCTTAATGTCGTCACTTTTAGAAACGCAATAAGGAAAGGATGAGAGTGGCTGCCTAAGACGTTAATTTTTACCTGAAAATCTACACACATCCCTCGACTAACCTGAGTTTAGTTTGTTGGAATAAAAATTGCCAAAACTCCAATAAATAAAGTGTACTGCTATGTAAATTAACATACTATATAGCATAGAGTTTCTTCACAAGGTTCAGTTAAATTTTAAGCATGTTAACTGAAAGAGATAATTTTCATTTTGGAATGTTTTAATTTCTTTGAAAAATTTTTTATTCCCAGGGCAAGTTTTCTCTTAACATTTTTGTTTAGAACACTATTACTATTATCAGGTTATGTGCATAGCTTCTCAAAACCAATAATGCTTCTCATAGGCAACTTTTGGAATAACATAGTGTGTCTGTCCTCTGATCTGATTACCTTATGCTGTCGTGAGATGTCTTTGGCATTTAGAAGAACCTTGCTCATTGGGTATGAATTGTTGACATAAGAAAGATACAACCTAATGGTTCATATAGCTTAATTATTTTTCAGGAAGCTGAAGAAATGCACATCAAAGCAATTCAGATTAAAGAGCAACTTCTCGGTCAAGAAGATTATGAAGTGGCCCTTTCAGTGGGACATCTGGCTTCTTTATATAATTATGACATGAATCAATATGAAAATGCTGAGAAACTTTATTTGCGATCTATAGCAATTGGTATGTTATTTAAAAATTTTTTTGGCCACTTAATTAGAGATCAACATGTCAACGTCTTATGTATTGTATAAGGGAAATGTTATTATTAAGACTTAAATGAGTTTAGAGCTGCTAAGGATTTCTAGAAACTACCAAAAAATCATCTGGAACATTTTCCTAAACATGATTTATTGATGTTGAAATCAGTATGAACAATTATGACACAATGTCAAGTATAGGTAAAAGTTTCAACAATTTGTGTAATTACTACCTCATCCCTTCTCCTGACTTTAACATCATAGATAGGTTTACTTGTTTTTGAAATTGATAAAAATGGAATCATACAGTGTATATTTTTTATGTCTGGTTTCTTTAGTTGAATATGAATTGTGAAGTACATCTGTGTTGTTCCAGATCTCTGTTGCTTGTCAGTTTCCAGTGCTTTTTAATATATCATTGGATTGGTATATCATTATTTATCCATTCTACTGTTAATAGATATTCAGAACATTTGGATTGTTTCCAGTTCAGGTTTATATCTTACAAAATAAGATACTGTGGGCATCATCTAATATTGTGCCTGTTAAAATTCTTCCCCATTTTTATATTGAATTGTCTGTTGTTTTCTTATTGGTTTATAGGAGTTCTTTATACAATATGGATATAACAAGCCCGTTGTTGGTTATATATGTTGCCGATAACTCTCATTTTACCACTTGTTTCTTAATCGGTGCCTTTCAAAGAACAGAAGTTTGTAATTTTAATGTAATTGAATATATTGATCTTTTATTTTATGGGTAGCACTTTTTGTATTCTGTTTAAGAAATATCTTCCTACCCCAAAGTCATGAAGATTTTTTTTTTAGAAGATTATCTTCTGGAAACTTTGATTTACTATTTACATTTAGATCTGTAATCCTGAAATTGATTTTTGTTGATGGTGTGAAGTAGCGATCAAATTTCCTTCCCCCGCCCCATATGGATATACAGTTGACCCAGAACAATTTTTTCAAAACACTATCCTTTCCCCTCTGCTGTGCTACCTCTGTCATACTCTTAAGGCATGTATCCGTGTATATGTGGATTCCCCATTACCCATAATTTATATATTGACTTGCCTGATCCTAAAATACACATAAAGTAGTTTAGAATTGTTAACCCATAGTACTTTGAAGAACAAACCTACTACTTAGTCTTACTATAGTATAGTCTTTGTTTGACAGTTTTCTTTGTCTAGACTGAAGGTGTATATTTAGAATACTATGTTCAAAATTTACTTGGGTTATGCCTCTCTTCTCCCCATTCCCACCTTGTCAGTGTACTTATTCATTTGAAAGATAATTAGGTTCATTTGTTTATGTCTGTCTAACATTTCTCTCATCTTTGTTAATTTTTTTTTGTTATGTGAAATACTAATGTTCTAAAAGTCAGAACTATAGAAAGGTGTGCTCACAGATGTATGATTTCCCCTAGATTCTTCTACCCACATCTCATCTACCCACTGTGGGTAACCAATCTCATTAGTTTTTCATTTGTCCTTTTTGTGTGTCTTTTTGCACAAATGTTCAGAAACATAAATATTTTACCTTTCTTGAACAAAAGGCAGCATACTCTAGGTACTCTTTTGTACTTTGCTTTTTTAAAATTAACAATATGCCCTGTAAGTCATCCCATGTCCATCCGTAGAGAGCTGAGAGCTTCTTCCTCTGCATACAGATGCATACCGTGCCATTGAATAGATGTACCATGGTTGATTGAATCATTCTATTTTCATTTGATTTTTCTATTGTTAGAGGTGCTGCTGTTTTTCTTTACTTTTAGATCTCCCCAAATCAGTCCTTCAAACTATGAAACGTTATTTTATTCTAGTGAAGCCAACTGCTTTAGGCAAGAGAATTTTTTTTTTTAATCTTAGAGATAACTTATGGATAGGACTGGTTTGGGGACCACTGATAGAAGAATTGAATCTGTTCTTTGAAGGGAATGAAACCAAGCCAGCCAACCTTTTTAAAGAATTGAACTTGTGTTGTCTTTGTCTTATAGAAACTGCTTGTTATTGCATTATTGAGCTTGCTCTCTTTTTGTTTTGTTTTGTTTTCGTTTTACTTTCAGGGAAGAAACTTTTTGGTGAAGGCTACAGTGGACTAGAATATGATTACCGAGGTCTCATTAAACTTTACAACTCCATTGGAAATTATGAGAAAGTGTTTGAATATCACAATGTTCTGTCTAACTGGAACCGGTTGCGAGATCGACAGTATTCAGTGACCGATGCTCTGGAAGACGTCAACACCAGCCCCCAGTCCACTGAAGAAGTGGTGCAGTCCTTCCTGATTTCTCAGAATGTTGAGGGACCGAGCTGCTGAGGGATGGCCTCAGTTAACTAATTTACCTTTTCCCAGATTCCAGGGAATTCATACTGTGAAATCAAAACCATGTTGTTTTTGGGGCTGGAATTTGCATTGAAACACTGGTCCAGTCCATTGACCCTATTTGGGTGATCCCTATCTTGCAGAGTGTCCGTAGGAATAAGCCTATATTCAGTTATATTCAGCATGTACCGCATGTATAAGTAGTCTGGCCCATATTTTCAACTTAGTAGAACAAACAACAGGAATTTTTTTTTTCTTTTTAAAAAATAATTCATTTTGCAGAAAGCCTGAAAGAAAAAAAGAACCCCAAAATAAAACTATTTAAGAGTTTAAAAGAGTTGCATTCTTATTATGTAAGGATGATTTTAACAACTTTTTAACATATAATTCTTCCTTGTGGAGGTATTCAATACTGTACTGTAGAGAAATTTTATGGGGAAAATCTTTATATGCAGTATAGAAAAGTTAACACAAGTACTAATAGAAGACGGACATCCTGACTTAGGTTTGGCTCCCTGACCCAGAGAAGTGGGTACCACCACTCCAGAGCTCTATTACAAGGGAAGGGCTGACAGATTCATCTGTATTGGACCAGTGTTGATCTGTAAGTAATAGAAAAGCTGATAGACCAGCAATTTTAACTCTTTGGTTTTTGTTTTTGTTTTTTCTTTTGGTACAACAATGTAAGATGCTCTGATAGCATTTGCTAGCAGGACCAGGAGAATCTAAAAAGGACCAGCCTAATATAGAAAGGGCTGAAGGGTTATTTGGACCAGAGGCTTTAGATTTTTATTTTAGCCCCTGCATATACCTGTATCAGTAGAGTGATTTCATTTAGATGTATAATGAAAAGTGATAATGCAAAAATTGTATTCATATAATAGACACCAAACTAGGGAATTTGGCAATTTCAGTGGCATATCTTTAGTCAAGGTACACAGATGGCAATGCCATAAGCAAGTCTATAAATATGCGTATCTGCTACAGCCATTCCCTCATTTTAAAAGTTACTCTAATAATCAGTGCAGTTAACAAATATATTAGCTAAGAGTCATTAAAGAGCTCTTTTCCAGATGGGAATTTTAGGTTACTATATGGTTTGTGGGGATTAATGGAAAAATGAATGCCCCCAAATAAACAAGTCGTCTTAGAAATCTTTCAATTTTATGGTAAATAATAATACAACTAAGTCATTGTACTTGAAATTCAAGAGTCATATGGAAAGATCCCCTAATAATACATCTGTTTCACTAATGTGTCTTCTGTTTATTGGGTTTTGATTTTTATTTTAAGCCAGCCAGGTTATTTAATGTTGAGGTAATATTCAAATTTGAGAAGTGTGACATGTAGCAGTCCAAGAAACAAAAAGGTCTTTTGCTGTTACCTCAATTCTTATTATAGTGGCCTATTCGGTGCCTCTATAGTTAAGAATCAGGGTTTTCTCCCCCTATTTTCAGGGGTTTCATAACTTGGCTGTTAGAGATGGTTACTCCCGGCTTACGCTTACGCTTGGAGTAGTCTATGGGCGAGTGAATGTGTTGAATTTTGGTTTTCTTTTAACATGCACATTGGGGTGTGAGGGGGAAGAAAAAACCTTAACTCAGCCACATTGGATACGGAAAATTTAATTGGAGAGTTAAGACAAATTTGATTTTAAACACTTTTTTGAACTTCCCAAATATAACCTTATTTAAAACTGTTATTAGAAGTTGTTGTTAGTTGTGAGCCAGTGTTTTTAAGTCCCCAGGAGGGAACTGACTGGGGGAGGTACCTAAAGAGATGAAGCAAGCCCAGATCCTAAGATTATAACTGTGATTTCAAAACCTGAGTTTATTCCTTAAATTCAATTATTTTCTTTTCAATTTTGAAAACAGTACATTGGCATACCTCCTCCCCCCTCCCCCCAGTTAATTGCAATCTAATGCCAAGAGGCACCTCTCTGTTAATTACCAAATAGTCTGTGTGACCAAGAACTAACATTTTTAAGTTACTCAGCTCTATCCTCATGGGCCTATATATTTAATACCTCCAAAGATATTTTCAGGATAGGCTTTGTATACTTTTGTTGGTTATTTAGAGTCCTGTGGTATGTTTGTGGTATAGGAATGTCATGGTAAATTGTTTTTCAATAAATATTTTGAAACTTATGTTTCCACATGAAGTTTTTTTTTTTTTAATTACATTTTTTGGTTGTATGCACATAGCATTTCCTAGGATAAAATCGAGCAAATGACTTAAGGCCTCATCCACTCTAAATTCCGTTTGAACTTAGCTCAGCTCGCACTCAGTGATAAAGCAGCATGATATTCAGAAGCCTGGGATCGCAGGGTGACAATGTTAAGTGGCAGCCAGTTTTTCTTAAAAAAAAAAAAAAAAAATCATTATTGGTAGTTTCTCCCTTATTACCATTGCTTTAGTGTAGCTTCTGTAAATCCATACACTTTGATTTAATGCAAATACTCTAGGTGGAGAAAAGAGATTGCCAGTTTCTGTTAGTGATGTAGCCTAATATGCTATTATTTCTGGTTCTGATGAAAAAAAATACCCTAATAATTTAAAATGTGGGATTTATCCTTTTAGTAGGGATGTTTAGGATAAGTTGAAGAGGTAAATGTCACCGTGATCTCTGGGGTTTAAAAAAAAAAAGTCAAAGGAAGAAAAGTAAAATTTACCTCACACTAGCCAATAGCTTGCACAAACTTCTCATGTGGTGGGATTGTGTGTAAGGAAGCCTAGAGCAACGTAAAGATTTTTCTGAAAGTTCATCACAGTAATGTTAAATAAGGGGCCTTTGGTCTCAACCTCCCTGACTTTACATTTCTTTTCTCTTTCCCAGTGTTTTCCCTAAAGTTTGGTGCTACTCAAGTTGGGTGCATCAGGGCGCTCTGTAACACTCATGTGCCACACAGGTGGTCAGCCACGCGTGCATTCAGTTTATTGAAGCCAATTGGTCTTTTTGGCCATAATTTTTATGGGTGCCCAAAGCTGACTTTGCTCCAAGCAATGGGACCCTTATTAACATCAAAGCTCTGCCTTTGCTTAAGAATGAACTCACTATTGCTTTGTAGTACCTCCTGTAGTACCCCAATATGCTTTCATTTGTGAAAATAAAAGATTTGACAAAGACCTTTGTCCCTAGGCTTTTTGGAAGAGTTCGTAATGTGAAAATTAAGGGCAGAGGCTATAATCTTATAAATAATGAGTTACCACTTGGCTGCTCCTTATATTGCAAACAGAATGCTGAACAGTAAACACATGCCTAAAACATGATTGAAGCTTTTGGCCATACTTTTGAATGAATGGTTTGCTAAATAGCAGGTATAGTTAACTACCATTTGATCACCCCCACCCCCACCCACCCCCAGAATTTGTAGCCTTGCTGCTTCCAAACTCTTTTTTTTTTTTTTTTGGATGGCAAAGTTACAACTGGACAAATACTTATTTATAATAAGTGCAAACTTTTTTAAGAGTTTTATTTTTGCTTTGAAAATTAACATATTTCACCTCTTGACTTCGGAGGACCTCAGATCTTGCTAGGAAATTTTTTTAACCTGACATTTGGATTAATCTCCAGCTTGAACACTAGTAGTTGTATTGTCCACAAATCTCAGGAATGTTTTAGGCAGAAAACTGGTTTTACCCTGTTGGTGATCTGAAGGAGTGTGCATTAGGATTTATTAAATAATAACCTTCTTTAATTGCAATCCTAGGTATCAGTAGCATGAGTGGCCTTAGTGAGTTTGTTGAAGTGTACATTTTTTTCAAAAGTAAAATTTAAGATTAAAAATATATGCTATATATAGATATCTAGAAAACTTGGTTTGTGGTGCACAAGTTAAGTGTTGAATCACTAAATAACTGTTGCAGGTACAATTTGTGTAACATTTCTCATTTCTGTATATTCCTTTTATGGGAAGATATGTTGCCATGGTAACTAAAACTTTTCAATTTAGTTTTACTTTTATGATGTGAATGAATGCTACATTTTAATAAATATTACCAGGTCAGTATACTATTTTTATACTTTATTAAGCAACAGGGGATTTTAGTTTAATAGACTCTAAAAGGTCTTAATGAAACAAAAGCAAATCACTGACAACTCTTTACATGAAAATCCCCATTAATTGTGCCACAGTAATTTCTATAGAAATATCTAAGGTCATTGATGGATTTTTTTAAGACAGTTCATTGTGTCAGAATGACCTTTCATATCCTTATCATAAACTTGTAGTGCCCACCATTATTTGTAATCATTAAACCATACTAAGTATGTTTGTAACCAGCATTGTGATATATTATTCTGTACTTGTATTGCTAAAAATGAATTATTGACCTAATAAATATAGTGTTCCTGCATTTGTTTCCAATTTAGTTTGATCACTTTGGGTTGGGACTTGGGATTATTTAAACATTGCAAACTTGATTAGAGAAAAATGTGAGAAACTCTTGGAACTAGAACAGAAGTGCTCTTGTTCAAGAAAAGTAAGATGTGTGGCAGAGAAGGTACATGGTAACAGCATTTGGAAGTGGTAACATGAAAGTACTTTGGAAAAGACAAAACACTACATTAATGCAGGAGATTTTACAAAAATAAC